CCCCTTTAAAGACTTGAACAAATCTTCGATTTGACACCCAAATTGTGATATAATGTCAAAGTGGGAAAATGGGAAATGTGACTTTTTGTTGCGTTGCAACATCTGTTAGGCACGCTGACAAAATGAGTTACTTCTCGCAATCCATGAATGGAGATACTGGCCAAAAATAGACGTTAGGGTCAAATTTGTAGATTTTCTATTGGTGCCATATTCTTAAACTATAACATGCCTTTTATTATTTCATACTTATAAGTTGTTACAATTTTACCTGTAAGAGTGATGTATCTATTTTCTTAAGGCTTGAATCTGAGAAGTAACTCATTTTGTCAGCACGCTTCACATTATTATGAGACCTTCAAGATCAAACCTCACTATATTATACATAGAGCACAGTTAGGATCATGGCAGATAAACCCACCTGTATGGCTGTGGTGCCAGGTATGAGGCGGGAGATCGCCTCCCAGTTTTTCGTTTGCAGACTGGTGAAGTCGGACGAAGCTATCAGAGTTTTCAGAATGAGGTCGAGAGTGACTCCGATCCGTGACGACGGCTCCACACTGTTGGAACTCATTTTCTTCAAGAGGCGCTTCTCAGCGTGTTTAGGTTGTATGCAACTCCAACACGTACAATCACAGTACAATTGGCAGGGTAGAGATTGTGAAACTGAGAGCTAGAACTCATGAGTTTTCAGTTCACAGTACAGAATTTTTCCTCCCAATCGTGTTTTTCTGTTCAAAACCAATCGTAATACAGAGATCAGAGAAAGGTTAAATTACTATTACATAACAGATAGCACACAGTCAGCCTCATATACATTCATTGTAATCTTGTCTGCTAACTATCACGATCAGAGGACTCGTACTTGGTCCTTCTCACAGAGCCTGTTGAGAAACATGTTGACAAGAAGCTTTAAATTTGTTACATTTTTCTGTTGTCATGTGACATTTTTCTACATTTCCTATAATTTCAAGAGAGGGGAGGGGGATAGGATAGAGTAGACTTCATTAATTGCACTAGGTATTCAAAACGTGAACTTTGTCATGTGACTCTAGATCTAAATGTAAACATTTTGTTTTGTTCTTCCCCTTTGTTGAGATTACTGTGGCATGCATGATTACAAATAGGATTATTCATTATGGCTTATTTTAGAGATATTATGGGAGGAATTTTGTAACGAACCACGTCTATGAAATATACAGATATGTCTTTAGAGGGTTTGGGTTCGAGGGAAGGAGCTACGCAGAGGGCCAGTTGCCCAACAACAAACGACCTATCCTGAACCCTAAAGCTCTTGTAATAGTTTGCTCACATAAATTGTTACCGGCCCTCAGCGGAACTCCTCGCGGCTAGGAGGGTTAAGTTTGGGTTAGGGCCTGGGTTTGAGCTTGGGCTAAGGTTAGCCAGCTATAAGGGTTAGGTCTCTAGCTTCTATATTGTACGGAAGTCCGAATTAAGTAATTATTATAAGTTCCGATATTATATTACTGATGCATAATTCGGCTTTCTGTAGGCTTACGGTACGTTTCTGTTCCATTACAGGGAATGGATCCTTCGCTGGCAAACACAATATAAAGATCTGAAGAGACCTAACCCTAACCCAAACCCTTTCCCCTACCCCTCTATTCTATTCTGTCTCATAGTGGTCGCTTGTTACGGAAGTCCTCGCCCCTTATTACAGCAATTGGAAGCAAATGAAGGTCCAGTTTGGATACTGTAATAAACTTGAAGATGGCATTTGCATGTCTGAGTCTGACTTTAATAAAGACGTTGGACAATAATGATGATACATTTTATAATGCATAAATAATTATTCAATGGCAATCCCTCAGTGCCCTCACCACAAGTACCGTAACGTAGTAGACGTCTAGTGTGTGATGCACCATATAATCTTAAATAGGCCCTAACATTTAATTATAATTATAACAATAATAATAATAAATTGTGTAAATCTAAATGTAGATAGATATAAATCTAGTAGACCTACAGACCAGATCTCGATATCTAAATCTACCACTAGAGATCTAATATCTAATCTAGATCTAGAAGTAGAATAAGAAGTAGACTCGATCTTCTGACCACTTCTGTCCAAAACAAATGCAAAAAACTTCTAGATCTAGATCTATATCATACGCTCGCTACATCGACATTTGCATTACTCACTGCTGTAGCTCATGCAATTCACAAACACTTTCACGCTTACAAACAACAAGGATCTTTACATGAGATCATTACATTTGTTGTGCAGCGGAATGAACAAATTCAACTCTCCAGTGGCTTGTGAAGATTGTGTACTGTCGCTATGAGATAACTTCCGGTTTCAAAACTACAACCAGGATTTCGAAGCAGGCTAAAAAATATCGCCCTTTTTAGTCCTATACATTATACTACATAATGTATAAAAGAATACTACATTGCATTATACAATTATTATAATATGTATATTAAGGGGACAAGGGGAAAATGAAGGGTATTCTTTTGATATATTCATTATTGTAGTGTTGTTGCTTTTTCTTTCTTCGGGGAAAAAAGGAGATCTTCTTCTTAATTAATCAAATTATTATACATGCAATTAATGCAAGCAAGAGATGATCAATTTTTTT